ATTGTGTATTTGATATTCTAACCTAATTCATTCTCCCATTTCGAGTTTGATAAGCTCGGCTCGAGTTTCGAGCTTGATAAGCTCGACTCGATAGAAAACTTGAGTTCGAGTTCGAACTCGAGTTTTAACTCGAGTCGATCTCGAACAACTTGTGAAACTCGAATTACTAATCGAGCGAGCTCGAACTATCTCAATTAGAGGTTCGAGTCAAGCTCGAGTTTAAGAAAGCACACATTTGAAACAATTTAGCAAGATTCTTGATATCCTCTAGACTTGTTTGTAACCTGATGTCCTTTGTGGAAGCAACTTTTATAAGGGATAGGACTTGTTCATCTTTCTCTTCCACCTTACTCTTCTCCGAGGTTTGAATAATGCCATTTTTGCTACTTATACTCGCATCTCGTAGTTTGGTATTAGAGCATCTGTCCACCAAGGCCCATTATGCTAATACCCGGCCCCCTACATTTTCTGTCACCACTAGGGGTGCAACGAGTCGAATTTTGACCTAATTGAACCGAGGCTTAAGTTAAATTTACGAAGCTTGTACTCAATTTCAACAAGTTCAAAATGTCAAACTCGAGCTCAAGTTTAAAAAAAAAATTATTTTATTTTTAAAAAATAAAAATAATTATTTTATTTTTAAAAATAAAATAAAATAAATTTTTTAATAACTAATAAAATATTAAAGATATATATGTAATTTTACTATTAAAATAAAAATAAAAAATATGATTAAGCTCGCGCTTTGGTATATTTTAGCTCGAGCTCGACTTGATTAACTTGAATTCGACTTGAGCGCGTATTCGATATTGTTTTGGGCTTTTTATCTTTGTAACTCCATTATCCATTCCCCCCAAACTCATCTCAACAATCCAATACTTATTTAACACCGAAAAAACTATGAAGCCATGACAGAATAAGCATCCATTAATAGTTTTCAACTAATAAGAAAAGCCCAAAACAATCCATATCAAAAGTTCGTAATTTCAGATGCAAAGAGAAGAAGTTCAGCAATATGAAAAAGAAGAAACAACGAGAAAGAATTACACCACAAATCAAACTGTTACAGCAAGAGGGAAAACAGAAGTTAAAAAAATGGAAGAGAATCATATGCACCAAAGTCATGAGAGGGAAAAGCTAAAGCTTTCAAATAGTAAAACAGAAAAAGCAAGCACTACATAAGGGTGCAAAAGAGGAGGACATAGTGGCATGGAAAAAGAAGGTGAAATATTTCAAGGAAATATCTACATTAATATCATGGTATCCATGGTCTCTTACTCTCCACTCAAGATAGGACCCGACATTCTAATGGGATCACAAAAACAGCACAGGATATTTCTAAAAACACCCACCAAAATAGAGTAGAAAAGTAATTACAGGCCTTTAACCTGATTCATGAATCCTATTCACTATGAAGAATGCATTTTTGCCAATGCAGTTTGTAAACCAAGCTTTCTTGCAAATCTGATACATCAATCAACTCTACAATAAAGGGTGCATACTAGCACCCAACCGAAGACATACTCGTTACGAGTTGGATTGGTCCAAACAAAATGTATAAATGAGAACAGAATCTGCCATGGACCACAGAAGCTCCATCTTGTGTTTTACTTAAAGTCCGTCAACTAACATCTGTGAGTGAATTTCAAATTTGACTTCCGTCTAATGAAGTTACGAAACCAAAAGCACTACTATTATTGGACAGACCTATTCTATCACCTGATAATAAACAATATGTGATAGGAGTAGTTGAGGTTACAAGATTGTGTTCTTTATCTAGGTCACCCTTAACAAATCTACCATCAAAATACTCCTTTTTCCTCCATCTTGAAAACAAAATAGGAAGCCAAGGTGATAAAAAGATATGTTGATTAAATATACTGCACTGAACACATGAAAACTTGGGTTTGAGAATGTCATTTGCATAGATTAATCAACTGGTAACAAACAAATCTACCATCTTGTAAGCTGAAACCGAAGACTTCGGTTTGATAAAGTTATTTGCATGGATTAATCTTGTAAACTTTAGGCGTATACATTAACATTTTTGGATGCATTAATAAGAGGAGCGAGAGGTTTTTAATGATGATTTTGTGTACTTCTAAAAGTCCCTCCTTATTTCTTTTTTCTTGTTACAATAAAAATATAAGCACGCAAAACCCTTCTTATTTTCATGTTGGATTAAGGAACGAGAGGTCAACAATGATTTTTTTTTTAATATAATATTTTTACACTTGGTCCTATATTAGGGGAACGTGGTAGTATGATAGGGATGGACCAATCAAACTATTAAGAATTCGGAGGGAATTAAATTACTTTCAAAAGTATTTCAAGAAATTTCGAACGGAAAATATAAGCAAAGAGTTTCGAACTCCTTACCTACATCCAATGAGAGACTTTTTGTCTCTCCCTCATGGCCAACTAAATTAGCTCAATTGGTTAATAACGGATTTATGTACTTTTAACATCTCATCCCTATTTTCGAGAGCCTATTCTGTTTGGATGGGAGTGTTTTTCAAAAACTAATTTTTCAAATACAATAAAAATTTTTAAAAAGTACTCTAAAAGATGATCTAAAAATTAATTTAAATTTTTTTAAAATTTTAAAAAATATCTGAAAATATATTCTAGAAACTCTTCTACCCTTAAATATTTCAAAATATTTTCTGAAAATATCTCAAAATATAATCTAAAAACTCTGTTACAGCAAATTTTTTTAAAAATACCCCAAAAAATAGCTAATCCAAACGGATACGAGAGGATGGATGAATTGAATAATGCAAGGGAGAAGACGTAATTGAGAGGTCTAGGTTTGAAATTTTCCACTAAAACTTAAAAGGAAAATACAGTATATGCGAGCATGCAAGGCCAACTTCCAGTAACTATCCTCGTAACTTCTCCATACCTGTTTATCTTAAAATAGTCTCACAAAATTAAGTGGCAGACACAAACTGTACATTGACCACAACTTTGATTAAAGTGGCCGCTTTATCTCTCACTCTCTAGGCAAGCCTAACTACTGGAGCTTGAATTAATGTGTGGATAAATCCCCAATGGTGATGTGTGGCATGACCATTCGCAGCCTTGATACTTTGAGCAAGGATAACTACTAAGGTTTGGCTCAGTGTGGCCATAAAAAAAAAGGACTAAGGTTACTCTTTGAGTTACGTGTCACGGATTCAAATCTTATCTGTAATGAAAAAAGTTTACAAGTAATGTTAGAGCACTTATTTAATCTAATAAATTTTTATATTTATTAGCATTTTATATATAATTTTTAAATTTTTTTTTAAATTAAAATAAATTAAATTATAAAAATGTAAACGACGCCGTAAAAAAAAAAAAAGAAAAAAAAAAGCTTTGAGCAAGGATGCAAAGAGGTGAGTCAGTGGCCTACATTTTCATCAGCTTAGAAGGCACTTGAGATCCTCGGTGACATGTTTTCTATGCCAATTCAATGCCACCTATAGTATTGCACCAAGTGTCATGTTATTATTTACACTTGTGTTAAACCAAACCAAGTTGAATTATTAGAAAATTAAAGTGATATCAATGGATGCAGGGGTAAACTTGCCGATCAGGATGAGGTAACAGTGGTTAATGTCGATTAGAGTTGAATAATGTGATCTAGAGACGAGAGTAGAATGCATCATTTTGATTAGTGGGAACTGGCAAACAGAAACCTCAAAGCAGAAAATAAAAAGGAAAAATGTTAATCTAACCATAGTGTAATTATACAAATTCCCTTGTTGAGTTTGCGAAAATATACCAAAGGTTCTTACAGTTCTATAAATCAAAGTTCACCGCCCCACTTCCTCTAAGCATACTGTTCTGCACATAACAGCACACGAGCACTGACATCTCTCTCAGCCTTTTCTCCGTTTCTACTTCCCTGTTACACCTGCACACGAGCACCTGGAACTTCCCCTCTCCGTCGGAAAATGGGAAATAAGCTTACCATACTAGAAAACAGGACTTGGTTCAACATAGAAATCAAGATGTGGGTGGATGGCTGTAGGCCTGATAGGTTCAGGAAAATTGTTAGGATCAAACCAGGCGGATCTATAAGAGTAAAGGCCTCAACTTTCAATACTGATGATGATCCGGGCGGCCCTGAATGTGTCATGCTACTGGTTTTTGCAAATGGAAGTTGGACAGGAAAATACCTTCTTCCTCAGGACTTGTTCGCTTGGGCGGCAGTCTTCTGCGACAGTAACCGACACGGTCAAGTCATTCTTCGAGCCAGAAGAGCAAACTTCAACCTCTTCAGGCTCAAGTACTTCCTCTGTAAAGTTGACGTCTGATCTCAGGCTGCTTTTGATACATTAAATGCTCTCCCCCTCCTCCCAAAAGTGTGTGTGCAATTTTTTTCTTGTGGGAACACAACAACTCATGTTGTGATCAAATTACCTTTGTCTTGGTTTACTATTATTCTCCAAAAAATTTTTACGCTTTTTTCAATCAAGTGGTTTTTTTGTATACTTTTTTTTTTTTTTACAAAAATTTCAAAAAATAGCAATCGAAATATTTGTACTGATATGTTTGGTGTTTAAAAAACTTCATTTAAATTAGTTTTTTTCAAAGTGTTTTTGAAATATTTTAATGTAATAATGCATATAAAAAAATTTTATTGTAAGTATTTTTTTTTATGTTTTTGAAATATATTTTGAGATAATTTTTAAAATTAAAATATTTTTATAATATTTTTTAAAAAATAATTATCATCCACAATCACCCACCGCCAGGTCCGCCACTATTTCCACCAATCACCACCATCACCCACCACCGCCATCAGCCCCTTGCCCTTCCTCCTCTCCCTCGATCTTATCTCGACAAGATCGAGGCCTCTGATCTCCAAATCGCGACCAGAAAGTTATGATCAGAGGTCTCGATCTACGGGGTGGAGGGGGAAGGAGGAGGAGGAGGAGGACGGGATGGTGGCGATGATGGGTGGTGGTGATGTTGGTAAGAGGTAAAAATGTTGTAAATTTTATTTTTAAAATTTTTTATATATATTTGTGAGTTGTTTTTGATATATTGTATGAATTGCTTGTGTATTACTATAGTATTATATTTGAAAAACAGGTCAATCCAAACCAAACGGAGAGGTTCACAAGTTTGATCATAAGTCGAGAAGGTTAACAATGCTTCATGTGCATCGTTTGACATTATTATCACAGCCATGTACTACTGAACTAGTACTAATTATTTAATTTCAAATAATAGCGGTGGATCATACATAATCTGCTACTTGTAAATTTGACTTATCATTGTTTTTTGGTTATGATTGGTATTAATTTACTACGCAGTGATGTCAAATTATGCATGCTGATAGCTTTTCGGCAGATCGGATGGGCGTAGTAGCTTTTTTTTTTTTTTTTGTGGGTGTAATAGTATGATCTGTGAAACTCAATTAACTTATTTTATTTACCTTGAAGGTTTTGATGTGCTTAAATACACTACTTTTCTAACAGATGTTTTGCGTTCCTTCCTGCAAAATACGGGGGACTAGGAATGGCTGAAGAGGAGATTTAGGTATGGTATCACTAATTATGCCAATCTTTCTTAATTTCTGTTGCTCTCCGGTTTGAGCTTTTCCCCTCCGCTCTTCCCCTCTCCCTCCTCCGCCACCCTCCCCCTCTCTGCTCTGCGATCTGGGACCAGACCGCGACCAGATCGCAGCCCCCTCCCCCTTCCCCTTTGCAATTTGGTCGCGTGACCAGATCGCACCTAGCAGGAGGGGGAGGGTGGCGGGGGAGCGAGAGGGGAGGAGAGAGGGTGAGGATGAGGAACTCAAAAATTTTTTTTGAGGTTACCGGCGCCGGAATAGGTGACCGGTGCGGGGAGAGGTGGTGGCTGGTGTGGTGGGTTGGGCGAGGGAGGAAGAAAAGTTTTTGGGAAATTTTTTGTGTATAGATTTTTGAAGTGTGTAGATAAAAAACTTTGGGAAGTTTTTTGGGGTTCTGTAGTAAAAGTTGTTAAAAAATTAGTAGCTAAAAAACTTGATAAAAAACTAGGGTGCCAAACAGGCCCTTCATCATTAGATACGTAAAACATAATTCGAATTTAAATTTGAAACTCAAATTTTACGTATGTGTCGTATATTCAACCGTAGTAGTGCGGTATATGACATTTACTCTTAATAAAAATGGGAGTGTAAATAACATTTACTTAGTAAATAGGAAGTGGCTAGCTTGTTTTGCTCTGAATCATTTAACAAGTGACACGGGAAGTGGGTAGCTTTTGGATAAGAAATTAGGGGAAAAAATGGTTTAATCTCTTTATTTATTTGTGCACCTTGTTTTCTTTCTTTTTTTTTTTTCATTGTTTTTGTTTTTTTCATACTATCTAAGAGAATCTTATATACTTGTGAAATCATTCCTTTTTGAACTACTGGTCTCTATTCAAACCCTTTTTTAACTTCCCAGTTGCTACCTGGTCTGAGTTTCAAAACACTAATTTATAGAACATATTTTTCCTGTTGTTGATGTTTTGTATGGAGTGAGATATACGGATCATGAATAAACAATGGGGATCTTTCTCTATATCTAATTGGAATGTTTGGTAGTGGTGCTATGTAGTGTCTTTGTTTTAAACTCAATGTGTACCATATGTTTATGTGCCAATTAAAAACATCAATATCTTTTTAAGTGTTATTTGAAGCTAGCTATGGCGTGGATTAAAAGGATGAATATATTTTTCTAGAAAGAGTTTTTATTTGCTTTAACCGTGTGTCTAGTCTTACAAATCACTTTTAATGGCTTTTAAAGTTTGCAGCTTGATTCAGATTGATTCCAATTTTGTATCTGATGATCCTTGCAGGTCTCCAGGAAAACACTTGACCGTTTAAGGCTGTGGATGGTTTATTGAGAGAATTGCTGGAATGTGTGTAGAATTAAAATTGAATTCTACAAAAAATTTTACTCGAAATTCTGTAAAATCCAATTTTGTTGCCACACAAACTCCAAGTCTCTCCAAAAACCAGAAACAGCAGCAAACGTTCTATATATATCTTTCGTGCTAGTGAGGTGATGGATGCCAGCACGCACACCTGTTTCAGAGACTAGGGAAGGCTGGCCGTGCATTCCCACCTCAAGTTTATTAGTATTGCTGCTTTGTGTACTTTTGATCGTGGATTTTGATACAATAATCATGTGGAATGAAATTCATGAACTTTCCAGTTTATTAGCGTGTGTTTAGCAAAGGCATTATGTAAAGCAACGGAATCTTGAGTGTGTTTGAAGTTGTATGACATTCATGCATTCTACTGCATTGCACTTATCAGTTTTTTTTGAAGTGTTCTGATCACTCAAATATATAGTTTCCTTTAAGCTCTCTTAAATATTTCTCATGCCTGGGATTTGTGTATTGCAGTTAACTACTACATGATTGGAGCTGACAATTTCTACTGCTTCATATTTCAACTTTCTGCAGTCTTTCTTCCAAAAAAAAAAGCAGTTTCTGTAAATCAAAAGCAACTTATGGTGATCCTTAGATATCTCGGGAAGACGTACAGAAGATATCCACAGTAGAAATACATGGTTAAGTGACACTGAAAATGGTTCAAGTTTACACCAATTTCCCTTGCTGTTGTTCTCTACTGGCACTTGAGCGTTACCCAGTACCTACTGTCAACCAAAAACTCCTCGAGATGACTACCAAAAGCAACTAAATTTGACACGCTGAAATGCGTAGAACATGGAAGGGAGTGTAGAATCCAACTTGGCATGGGCTGAAAAATCTGGGGTCTCCTTTCTAATACAGGAAGTCTAGTCTCTTCGAGAATTTGTTGATTCCTGAATTCTGTTTGTCTAGTTCTCTGCTTAACAACTTATAAAAAGATTACTATCAAAGGTTCAGTAAGATGGTCAATGATATTCTGACAATAAAAGAGCTAAAACTCCAAAGAAGTATAGAAATGTATACAGAAAAGGAAAAAAAGACTTGCCACAACCATAAAGAAGAGAGAACTGCAAACTCATCTAAGATAACCACAACACTCTCAAGTCTCGAGATAAGTGTATCTTTGTTATCTTCTCTTAAAGCAGAAAAAACGCTGGAAAATATTTTTCACGAAACATAGATCCTTTAGTACAGCTCAATCACTTTCGTCACTAAAAATCCTTTTCAACAATACGTTAATTTACTAATTATCAACTATCTCTGGATTTATTTTATTCTCAAATCAAGTATTGAATCAAGAAAGGAGACACTATCCTGAAACTAATATTGACGAATGCCGTCTCAGATTCCCAGCACCTTACCTAATAAGTTACAAAATCCGCATTGAACTAAACAAAGCGGGGAAGGAATTTGAAGAGATACCACTGAACCAATTGCAGAAAATTTCATCTTAACTGAACATCACAAAGTCTCAATGTAAATCCATCACTTTGTTAATATATTTCTCACGTTTACTCCAATGCTCCTAGCTGAATGATGCATGTTGCATATTGCCAGAAATTCAGAAGAGAATGGTCAGCCCTGCAGACTCAGACAAAAAACTTTTTAATCTTTCTATCTTGGTAACTCCATTATCCATTCCCCCCAAACTCATCTCAACAATCCAATACTTATTTAACACCGAAAAAACTATGAAGCCATGACAGAAAAAGCATCCATTAATAGTTTTCAACTAATAAGAAAAGCCGAAAACAATCCATATCAAAAGTTCGTAATTTCAGATGCAAAGAGAAAGAAGTTCAGCAATATGAAAAAGAAGAAACATCGAGAAAGAATTACACCACAAATCGAACTGTTACAGCAAGAGGGAAAACAGAAGGAAAAAAATGGGAAGGGAATCATATGCACCAAAGTCATGAGAGAGAAAAGCTAAAGCTTTCAAATAGTAAAACAGAAAAAGCAACCACTACATTAGGGTGCAAAAGAGGAGGACATAGTGGCATGGAAAAAGAAGGTGAAGTACCTCAAGGAAATATCTACATTAAAATCATGGTATCCATGGTCTCTTACCCTCCACTCAAGATAGGACCCGACATTCTAATGGGATCACAAAAACAGCACAGGATATTTCTAAAAACACCCACCAAAATAGAGTAGAAAAGTAATTACAAACCAAGATTTCTTGCAAACTTCAAGCCTTTAACCTGATTCATGAATCCTATTCACTATGAAGAATGCATTTTTGCCAACGCAGTTTGTAAACCAAGGCTTCTTGCAAATCTGATACATCAGTCATCTCTGCAATAAAGGGTGCATACTAGCACCCAACCGAAGACATACTAGTTACAAGTTGGATTGGTCGACAACAAGTCCAAACAAAATGTATAAATGAGAACAGAATCTGCCATGGACCACAGAAGCTCCATCTGTAGTTTTACTTAAACTCCGTCAACTAACATCTGTGAGTGAATTTCAAATTTGACTTCCGTCTAATGAAGTTACGAAACCAAAAGCAATATTATTGGACAGACCTATCCTATCACCTGGTAATAAACAATATGCTGATAGGAGTAGTTGAGGTTACAAGATTGTGTTCTTTAGCTAGGTCACCCTTAACAAATCTACCATCAAAATACTCCTTTTTCCTCCATCTAGAAAACAAAATAGGAAGCGAAGGTTATAAAAAGATATGTTGATGAAATATACTGCACTGAACACATGAAAATCAAGGGAATGCAGCCTGATTAAACAAGCCTCAATACACAAGAATCTCTAGAGAAGCTTTTGGCAATATCCTTGTCAAAACATATAACGGTAAGTATCATGAGATGACTGAGCTGAAATTATGTAGAGACCTAAGATTGATCAAATGCAAACACTTACCCAAACTGAAACATATGAATAAAAGTTCCTCTTGACCAGAAGAGGTCTTCTCTCCCAAAGTCTTGCCTATCAGTTTCACTGAGCCTATCAAAACTAAGTCAATTGATTGATGTCAACTGAAATATCCCAAAGTCTTGAATCAAATCATATTTTTGATGTACGAAATTCACTTGGTTTAGTAGACAACTGAAACTAATCACAACCCTATAACCTGCTTTTCAGATACATTATCTAATAACTCATCTTTGGACCCATAAGAGATAAAAAATTGCATTATGTAGGAAATGAAAGGCTTCCACACCTCATTTAGCAATAGCAGCTTGGCTCAGTAATGCTAAGCTACCCGAGAAACAATCTAATTTGGCAAAGCAATCTATTCTTCTTGGTAACAGAGAACTTCCAGATCGCATTGAGCAATAGCAACTTGGCTTGGTAATGCTAATCAACATTCTTCTAGGTAATAAAAGACTTCTAGATCTCAATTAGCAATAGACTCTTAGCTTGGTAATGATAATGAATGCAAGAATCACACTAATATATCTAAAATAAAAACACATTCATCAAAGACAAACATTGATGTACAAATTTTTTTTAAGTCATTGATGTACAAATTATTAGCCTGGCTCCAGATTTCCATCAAAACAGGGGAAAATACTGATTTGGAATAATTATTACGCAGCAAACAATTTTTGGTTGATTCTCGTCCAAAGTTTTAGCCCATCTACAGAAGTGTGGTAACATATCGCAGCATAATCCCATCTGACTGGGAGGTCAGATGCCTACAAATCGACTTAGATGCATCTAATCAACTGCTTATGTCAAGACAAAAAACTGCTCACCAGAGCACAAAACGAGCACAAAACACAAACACAAACACACGACGGGCAGAGACATTTGGCAGTCAATACGGCTAAAACCAACCCAAAATTAAAAATTTAAAAAAAAAAAACAACCACCAAAAATAAAATCGTGGACACCTGAGTAGAGATTCGCCCAAAATCGCCTTTGCTCTTCAATTCTTCGGCTCCCCTGCCGCAGGCGACCGGCACCTTAAAACAAGAAAAGCCCCCATTTTGAAAAGATTGGGAAGCGAAAACAGGGTTTGTTTTCCTAAGGCGCCAGTCTCCTGCGACAGAAATTAAGCAGGAGAGATGAAGAGCAACGGCGTTCGGGCGGCGAAAAGCCATAGCCGAGAGGAGCTCAGACTGAATGTCACGTCTTATTGTTGGAACCCACTTTTATAGAGATCAGTAGGGCACGAGCCACAACTCAGATCTAAAATATTTATTTAAAATAATTATTATAACACTTTTATGATACAATGACATTATAATATTTATATGAGATAAAAATGTGATTGAAAATTATGTATATGATGTAAGTACAATAAAATTTAAAATTTTTATTTCAAAATCTTGGAATCCAAACGCAAAAATTGTTTGGTTTTTTATTTTCTTTTTTTCCCAATGTTTTTCAGGATAAATTGTCAATTTCATCTATAAACTTCTCACTAATGTTAATTTAATTCTTAATTTTTATTTTTGACCAATTTGATGCATCAATTTAATTTTTGAATCTAATTAAGACCTTCTGCACCTGCAGTGGCACCGCCACCTAAAAGAAATTTGGCTCCTAATTCATCAGCTAAATAAGGACATTTTGGAAACTTTAGGCACGTAGTTATAATAAAACCAAGTAAACAAGGAAAAAAAAAAAAAACAATTAGTAAGCATTTGGCTTGCAGACTCATCTAGCTTGCAGAGATCAAAGCTAAAAGTCAAGAGCTTGTTTTTGTAACCTTTGTAAATCACTAAACTCCGTGTGAAAATTTCAAGATGAAGCAGCACGAACTTGTAAGAATTTGTAAGCAAGCTAGACAAAGCTATACTATTGGTGGGCTCAAAAGCTAAAATGCCTTTTAGATATTGGGGAACTGTTAGTATCAAAGCAAAGGTGGGCATCAACAAAAGGCTGCGTTGATGTATATGATAGTGCACCAATTGCAAGTTTGCAACTAACAAATGCTCCAGCAGCGATTGTGCAAGTGGCTTGGATCTTCTTTTCTCCATCAGCCATAATGGTGGCAAATATGATAAAAATTGCATATTTATGATATTTTCACTTGAGCCATAAAGCATTTGCAGATTTCCTCTTCAACTTTCTCAATTACAAAATAAATTCAACAGTTGGGGAAAGAGAGAGGAGAATGAAAGTTGGGAGGAGAACGGTGGGAGAAGGAGGAGGTGGGTAGCGAGCAACGAAGGTTGGAGGTGGAGGGAGGGAGCAGATAATTCACAAAGTTTTCAAAATGCCCCTGTTTAGGTGTGAAGTTAGGAGCCAAATTTCTTTTAGGCGATGGCATTGCCTAAAAGAAGTTTTAATTGGATCCAAGAATTAAGTTCAAGTATCAAATTGGTTCGGAACAAAAGTTAGGAAATAAATCGGTATTAATGATAAAGTTTAGGGACCAAATTAATTAAGTGTCCTTTAATTTTTCTAATCTAAGTTTAATTTTTCTTTTTCGTTTTTGCCATTGGGACACAATTGTGTATGCGGTTGTTAATATTAGGGATGACAACGGGGCGGGATTGGGGCGGGGGACCCCTCCCCCATCCCCCGCTGTCCCGCCCCATTCCCCGTCCCCCGCTCCCCCGCCCCGCTTCCCCCGCGGGGCTAACAAAAATTTGTTATATAATTTTATTATGGTTAAAATTTAACAAATAATCAAGTACTAAAATATCAACACAGCATCAAATTATTATTCATTGTAATTTTACAATTGAAACTTATAAAAACAATCAAACAAAAATTATTTGAATACAATCCAACATGATGAAATAAATATAACTAAAATAATCAAGTTTTCACTTTTGGTACAAATACAATCGCTAATTCATTATTGTGCTTGTGCTTTTTTTAAGAAAAAAATGTTATTGTATTAAGTGTAATTAGGGATTTAGCACAAATGCATTAATAAATTTAGTATAACCAATTAATAATTTGTATTAGTACACATATATAATTATTAGTATAATTAATAATATCAATTATATTATATATACTAATAAACATCATATAATACATATAACTAATAATATCATTATCATAAGTTTCTAACCAATTAAATTATATATTATATATATAATTATATATCTATATATATTTTATATATTTATTTTTTTAAAGCGGATGGCGGGGCGGGGGTACACTCCCCCGCCCCCCCTCCCCATTTCTAAGCAGGGGGGGTGGTGCCCCATTCCCCGCCCCAACCCCCTCCCCATTAGCCCCCCGCGGTTACCCGCCCCCATTGCCATCTCTAGTTAATATGGTATAGGTATTTTACTCTTGCATTAGCACGATTTTTTTATAATAGTATTAGTTATGAATTTATGAAAACATTAATAATTCAATAAAAAATAAAATAATATTCTTACTTATTCATGAATATTTATTTTAGAAAATGAATGTATCTAAGTATTCAAATATCATAGTAATCTTTGAAAACTTTTAGACATATGTTTATTTTAATATAATATTATTTTTTAATTAACAATTAAACTTTTATATAATTAAAAACCTAAAAATGCATATTTATCTTCAACTAAATACCAAATATGCAAATAGATAGTATATATTTTCGCGATGAACAAATATTAAGGTTCAAACAACCTTAATTAAGTAACAAATAAAATAACACTAAATAAAGTAAATGCATATGGATGCAATAAAGTAAGTAGATTTATAAATAAAGATATAGTTTGTTAGAAAAGAGAGAAATTATGAGAAAATTTGATTAGAGAAGAGTTGGATACGAATATGAATAAAACCTAAGTATTTAAATGACGTATCAATTAGGCATGCTACCTAGGAGAGAGAAAATAAATCATATCTATGTATATGTGTGTGTCTATATATATATATATATATATATATATATATATATATATATTAGCTGCAATCTTTATGGTATAAGGATGGTGGGTATCTGTCAAGGATTGGTTTGTTCCTGTGTATGTAAACATCAACTTGCATAGCAGAACCCATCAATAAAGAAATCCAAGAAATTGATTGTGAAGGAGGATTCCTTTGTATGTGTTGTAATTATTAACTATGAATTCAGCCATTTGGATGTTTGGATTATGAAAGAGTATGGTGTGAAAGAATCCTGGACTAAGAACTTGTGATTAAGAAACCTTGGTTTGGTGTCTACAGACCCTTTTTTCTATCAAGGGATGGATGGAAAAATCTTTATTCTGCGCAGGTCAAGCTTGAAAATTTGCAATACAAAAAGCAACCCAGTCGAAGATCTTCCTATTGCACGTTGAGAGCTTATTTTTCCTAGATAACCATGATAGAGTTGAAAGGCCAGAGGCATGAAATCGAGCAGGAGCTAAATTAAATGTAGTATTCTGCATGCATTTCTTGTAAGTGGCGATCCCTTAAATTTCTTCCTCAATTTCATTATCTGTTGCTTACCACGCTGCCGCAGGCACCACAGATGGAAGTTGCCCACCCATCTCCCAATTAAGGAAAAAAAAAAAAAAAAAAAAAAAAAAGGGTGCCAGCTTGTTTAGGTTGAGAGAGAAGAAAATAATTTTTTTATCAATATGGAGAATCTAATCCACTTTCTCATCTGTACATTAGCATCAAAATTGCCTCCCCAACAAAAATTGCAGATTCAATTAATTCATATAGGTGCCAGCTTGTTTCGATTTTCAACTAATGGAGTCACAGAGACCAAACGAATCTCCCCACCCAACCAAACCAATACCGATGATATATTCCAACATAGCTGCCAAACCTTGCGTTGCAGCTCTTTCGGTCCTTTTCTTGTATATTGTTTGTGGGATAAATAACTAAAAGGGCAGAGTACACTTTAACTCCCCTTTATAATTTGGATTAAAGTGTCAAAGTGACGGAAATGATCATTCATAACGGATTTACTTAAAATATTAAAAATATCCTTATGTAAAGTTGAAAATTATTTATTAACAAAGAGGGGTTATGTGTATATTTTGAAAACTATTAAGGGGTTATGTGGTAAAATATTAAACCATAAGGAGATTATATGGTAACATTAAAAATCATACAGAATTAGTATGTCATGTATTTATAAGGGTAATTTGGACATTTTTAAAAGTTTCGTTATGAATAACTATTTCTGTCACTTTGATACTTTAATTCAAATTATGAGGGGATTATGTATAATTTTTTAAACTATAGGAAATTATGTAGAAAAAATACTAAATTACAGAGGATAAAGTGTAATTTGCCCTAACTAAAACAGTGTCATGTCATCTTCTTTTTTGAGGCCTTGATATGACAGTACCTACCCCCAGAGTTGGCCATGGAGTTCAGTAGTTTACTTCTCCTTTCTCCTCTATTGATCTGCATTACCTCCATCTTGCTTCATGTAGCCAATCGACCAAGCAACAAGCAGAAGAGGCTTCCTCCAGGCCCCAAAGGCCTCCCAATTATTGGGAACCTCCTCAAAATTGGTAACAGACCCCACGAGTCCTTGACTGGCTTGGCCAAAATTTACGGTCCACTCATGACAGTGAGAATTGGCTGCGTCACAACCGTAGTTGCATCTTCAACTGATATGGCTAGAGAAATTCTCCAAAAGAATGATCAGGCCTTCTTGGGCAGGTCAATCCTAGATGCAGTGACTGCAGAAACTGATTACGAACGTTCCATTGTTTGGCTTTCCGGAGGAACAAAGTGGCGAAAGCTTCGAAAACTTTGCAACAGCCAAGTTTTCACCACCCAAAGATTGGACGCATTGCAAAGATTGCGGTATCAGATGATGGAAGACATGGTTCAACGTGTTTCCCAAGCGGGAGAAGCTGGAGAAACTCTTTATATTGGGAATTTAGTGTTTGGTACAACGTTGAGCTCATTTTCCAAAATGATGTTTTCGGGTGACGCGTTTGATCCAAACTCAGAAGAAGCTAAAGAACTAAAAGAGTTGTTTAGGAGGATAATGGAACTTGCTGCAAAACCAAATCTTGCAGATTTTTTTCCTATCCTGAAGCCATTTGATCCTCAAGGAATTAGAAGAGATATTAAATGTTGTTTTGGTCGTTTTCAAACGTTAATTGACAGCAAGATTGATGGTCGCATGAAACGTAGGGCTTCTGGATCACAAAGATCTGGGGATTTCTTGGATGCTCTTCTTGATCACAGTGAAGAACATGGCCCGGATGAACTGGATTGCCGTGATGTTAGACTCCTGCTCATGGTAATAACTAATTCAGGCTGCACTTTCCATTCATCCGCTCTGGTGCTTGAATTTGGTTTAAATCATTTGGAAATCATAATTTCGTTGCTAGATGTTTAGTTTCTTTTAGTAAAATTTGCTTGAGATATAGCTTCTAGTCATTTGCACAAGGCATAGACGATAACAATCCTAACTATCCCAAAAACAATTCAAACATAGTCCAAGTTCCAGTGTTCCACAGCCAAATCCCAATTTTCCTGGTTCATTTAACCCCAGTCACTTGGCCAGTACACAGCCAATTTCTTATTTACGATGCTACGAATTGCTTATATGGGAAAGAATGGTACTATAGAAGCGAAGCCGAATTTGATGCTCTTTATCTAAAAAATGCTGAAAAAGGTTGCTTATAATATATAAACAGATTAATTAGACTCAGACATCCGTATTTATTAGAAAACTGTGTGTTCAACTATTACCTTTAAATTATCTAGCCAAGTATCTCTTGCTCTGGAAGGTTTGCATCTTGTTACTTTATTATGCAATATGAATTTAGACACAATTCACATGGAATTTTCTGTCATACAACATCCACAATGCAACTTGTGAGCTGAAAAAAGAGTGATAAGGTGTCATTAATGTTAACTTTTAAAAAAAAAAATTTTTTTTTTGCCACAGTCCAATTGGAAGAATAGTGCAGTGAATAACATTAATAAGAAACAATTCAAAGAATTTTCAATCTAATTGGCAATTTGTTCTCCAAATATTGACAGCATTTGTATGCAACCAACAGGATATGTTTGTAGGAGGTACAGAACTACAGATACTACCACCGCCACAGTGGAATGGGCATTGACAGAGCTTATTCGCAGCCCAGAGAAAATGGCAAGGGCAAAGCAAGAATTAATCAAAAAAGTTGGCTTAGGATTTAGTGTCAAGGAGCAGGACATCCTTCAACTTCCTTATCTAGATGCAGTCATGAAAGAAACAAGGAGGCTTCACCCTGCAGCTCCATTTCTCCTCCATTGTGCCGAGACAGATGTAGAAGTTTGTGGTTATATCATTCCAAAACATACTCAAGTGTTAGTGAATGTATGGTCAATCACGAAGGACCCGGCCTATTGGAAAGAGCCCACCAAATTTCAACCAGAAAGGTTTTTGGATACAGGTATTGACTTCAGGGGCAGGGATTTATCTTTCATCCCTTTTGGTGCGGGACGGCGAATTTGCCCTGGAATGCCGCTGGCAGCGAGGATGGTGAAGTTGTTGTTGGCTACTCTTGTTCATAATTTTGATTGGAAACTCCCAAATGGTATGGAACCGAAAGATTTGGACATGAAAGATGAGTTTGGGCTTACAGCTGAGAAAGCTGAGCCACTTGCTGCCATTCCTGTGAGGGTTGCAACATCTTGAATTCTTCCTCTTCATGCAGTTGGCCTGGTGGAAAAATTTGGACCATCTAGTATCGAAGTCAATGTCATTTTTGAAAATGTGTATACCCTAAATTCAATCAACTTCTGAGATTTGATGTACACTTAAACTATTTATGTTATAATAAATGGCATTTTTGTGACATTGATTGCAAATATATTTATATTTGTATAATAAAATTTTTAGAATAAATAATCCATGAAATCACAAGAATTATGATGGTGATGTTTGTTTGACTATAGATAAAAGTTTATTACTAAATATCTCTAATCAAAATATTAACAAAATAGGATATTGTTAATATGGTAAGACTATGCCGCTTCCATATTAGAAACAATAGATCTCATCTCCTATAGTGTGTGAAACACTTGAGTTACTATACAGGTGCTTAATAGGATAATCAAATTCACTAAATTGACCCATATAGATGTATCCTTCAAATGCCAAAGGATCAATTTTTAAGTGACATTCATGTAAATTATCCTTAGACTTAAACTTGTCATGATATTTGTATGACAAATGTTTTAGAGTAAACCTACTTGATGAAATCATAAGAATTATGATGGTGAGTTTCATTCGATGATAGATAATTTTTAAATATTTCTAGTCAAAGTATTAATAAGATAGGGGCATTGTTAATACGGTTAAATTGCCATATACTATGCCAGTCTATATGAGAAATAGTATATCTCATCTACTATAGTATGTGAGATACCTAAACTGGTGCACGGGGTACTTGATAGGATGATCAAATTCATTAGATTAATAAGTGCCAAAAGATTAATCTTTAAGTGATATTTGTGTAAATGATCATTAAATTTAAGGTTATCATGATATCTTGAATATGGATAATTATACTTTATTTGTTATAAGATTCTGTAAAGATACTTCAAATATATAAAGATAATGACAAATCTTATCACATCATTAACAAATAGGTATATATTTGAAGTATGTAAAGATAATGAATAATCTATAAGGATTTACTGCCTCTTATGGAAGAGGAGTTATCTCTTATCTGGAGAGGAGTTAACATATAAGGCTTTGGGTGGTCCCGCCAGAGGATTGAAGTTTTTGTAGTATTAATGGCTGTTAATGCGCAAATTAGGCAGTTTATTTGTTAATATTTTTCCCTTTATTTTGACCAAATGTTGTGATAATTTGCTAGATTCTACTTATAATTGAATTTTTGTGTGATTTCTAGGAACTTCAAGTTAATTGAGGCAGAAAAGGAGAAATCGAAGCCTAATTGAGGAAATTCCATTAAGAAAATCTTGATACAAGTTTCTTAGTTGATACTAGAAAGCACGCATCCCATTTGATAGGGAATGAAGCAGAAAACTACCAAAAAGGAGGGACTTTATGGAGAATATGGAGACTTCTAAGGGCTTCAAACCTTGGGCCCTTGAATTGGTGGGGGACCACAAAGCTAGTGAATGATATTTGGTCATTTGGGCTCTTCAAAGAAAGCAACGTAGAGAGACTTGGAAGAAGAAGTAATTTTGGAGACTTTGTCCACATGTGTGGGGACCACCGGAGATAGCTTTTAGTCATCTTACTTTTGGCTTTTTAAGGAGAGGACGTACGGAAGCAAAAGGAGACCTCTAGTTTAGCTTTTTAGTTTAGTTCTAGTTTCCTTTCTCTTGACTGGCCTCTGACACACGCCAGGTGTTCGACAATATTCCCCAACGGGAAAAACATCTTTTGTTCCTTGCTTTCTAGTAAAAACGCAATGCCTTTGCAATCCATTACTTCGTGTGGTGATTTAATCATGAGGCGTGGCTAAGTTTATCTAGTCAGAGGTTAAATCGAAGCTTTGGTTCGACAAAACTGTGAGATCGAATTTATTTGCCTACGTTCTTTAATTTACAAGTATTTATATATTTCCTGTTCACTTATGCATATGATTATTTCTTGCAATTAAATACTTGATCACTGTTTAATTGTGTGAGTAATTAACAGCCATCTAAGAGTGCTCAATCCGTAATTGTTGGGTAATTTTAGTGCATGTGGCAAGTGACATGATTCAATTGTAGTAGAAACTTTTGAGTTGTTGTTGTGGAAATATATGATATAGCCTAAATAAACCGAGCATGTGTGTTTGTTGGTTATAATTGGTGGCCAGGCTAATGATTAATGCTGTCAATAGGTTAAATCCTAAGAGCGTGTTTAGGACTGCTTAATTGGCTAGGGCAATAACTACAGAGCTTGTTGTGGTTATCGAATCAGGAAGGTTAGGCAGGTTGTCAGAGCTTGTTGACAACCATAACCAATTTATTTGTAAATGAAAGATTTTATCTCTGCATCTGTGATCAGTGATTCGAACCATTAGTGGAGATTATACCTTTGACTAGAGATTTTCCTTCCGTTAATTTACTTTATATTTATTGTTATTTATTTTATCTGCGATTGTCTTATTTTTAATTTGAGCAATTAAATTAGACAGTTCCATATTAATTCCCCCCATTTTTATTTAATGTTACATTCATTCAAAATAAATTCCCAAGTCCCTGTGGATTCGACCCTACTCACTGCTATATTCGAATTTTGTCTTTCACGTAATTAATATACTTTGGTATATCGGATCAAGCAAACTCTGGCACCAGGGTGAAGCTAGTAACCCATTGCACAGCCTAAGTCCCTGCTCCAGTACCATAGTGGACTTATTTCGTGACTTAAGAGTAGGAATTTTATTTTTGCTGGTTTGACACCCACCAAATTTTGGCGCCGTTGCCGGGGACTTGGTGTCAAAATAAATTTATTTTCTTTGAATTTTATTTTCTTTGTTTATTTTTTATTTTTATTTTTATTTTTATTGTTACTGGTTTATGCCTAGATCTTCTCGTACAGGTGAACTGCAATATAATCCTGAGATAGAGAAGACTGCTCGTGCATTGAGAAAAGCAACAAGAGAACGAGCAGAGGCATCCTCCTCATCTACTGGACATAATTCAGTAGTAGATTTTGTGGATTCATTTAGTGAGACGGAAGAGATAGATAGCACCATGGCTAATGAACGGGCATTGAGAGAATTGGCTGCACCAGATTTAAATCAACAGCCTCTATGCATTACTTATCCTACATTAGAGGTTGCATTTGAGTTAAAATCTGGACTAATCCATTTACTTCCTTCTTTTCATGGCTTACCAGGTGAAGATCCCCACAAGCATCTCAAAGAATTCCATGTGATTTGCTCGACAATGAAACCTCAGGGAGTCACAGAGAAGTAAATTAAATTAAGAGCCTTTCCATTTTCCTTAGCCGATAAAGCTAAGGATTGGCTCTATTATCTGCCCTCTGGGTCAATATCCACATGGACAGACATGAAGAAGCATTTTCTAGAAAAATTCTTTCCTGCATCCCGAGCTGCAAGCATTAGGAAAGACATCTGTGGAATTCGACAATTCAATGGAGAGACTCTACATGAATATTGGGAAAGATTCAAGCAACTATGTGCTAGTTGTCCTCATCATCAAATTCCTGACCAACTCCTCATCCAGTATTTTTATGAGGGTCTATCCCAAACTGACAGAAGAATTATTGATGCTGCCAGTGGGGGCTCCTTAGTGAATAAAACACCCACGGAGGCAAGAAGTTTGATATCGAGTATGGATGCAAATGCTCAACAATTTGGAGACAGGCAGGATAACACAACTCGTAGAGTCAATGAGGTAAGTAATTCTTCAATAGAGCAAAGATTAGATTGTCTAACTTCTTTGGTTGAAAAGTTAGCTATAGGACAAATGCAGCAATTGAAAACATGTGGAATCTGCTATGGTTCGAGTCATCCAACAGATATGTGCCCCACACTCCAAGATGATTCGACTGAGCAGGCTAATGCAGTTGGATTTCCAGGACCACCTCAGAGGCGGTATGATCCCTATGCAAACACCTATAATCCAGGATGGAGGGATCATCCTAATTTTAATTATGCAGCAAGGCCACCAGGATTTCCACAACAGCCACAATATCAACCTAGACCTCAACTTTCACAGCAACAATCTGCTCATAAATCAGGTATGTCACTTGAGGATATTGTGAAATCTTTGGCTACTAACACTCAACAATTTCAACAGGAGACGAAAACTAGCATTCATAATTTGGAGAATCAAATGAGCCAGTTAGCTTCCACAGTCAATAGATTGGAGTCCCAATTATCTGGAAAGCTACCTTCGCAGACAATTGTCAACCCCAAGCAAAATGCTAGTGCTATCACATTAAGAAGTGGCAAAGAGTTGCCTGAGCCGAGTAAGAAAATTTCTGAACAAGCAATCGAGGAAGAGCTCGAAAAAGAGGGGAATGTGTCTCAACCTAGGGCCTTGGAACAACCAGATTTTGGAGAAAAATCAACACAAGTGATTACACCTCCGCCTCCATTTCCTAGTCGACTGGCAAAGTCCAAAAAGCAAGAACAAGAACAGGAGATTTTGGACACTTTTCGAAAAGTTGAGGTAAATATCCCTCTTTTAGATGCAATTAAACAAATTCCTAGATATGCTAAATTTTTGAAGGAGTTATGCACTGGTAAGAAAAAGTTGAAAGGAAATGAGAAAGTGCATATGGGAGAAAATGTCTTGGCAGTTCTGTAGAAAAAATTGCCTCCTAAATGCAAGGATCCGGGTATGTTTACTGTCCCTTGCAAAATAGGCAATATTAAAATTGAAAAAGTTATGTTGGATTTGGGTGCTTCGATAAATGTTATGCCTCGTTCTATTTATAATTTGATGAACGTTGGGCCTTTAAAAGAGACGGGCGTAATAATTCAACTTGCTGATCGATCAAATGCCTATCCTGATGGAGTTTTGGAGGATATTTTAGTGCAAATTGATAATTTGATTTTTCCTGCAGATTTTTATGTGCTTGATATGAATGATGATAATTCTAATTCATCTCCAATGCTGTTAGGGAGACCATTTTTGAAAACTGCTAGAACAAAAATTGATGTTTTCACTGGCACATTGACTATGGAATTTGATGGTGATGTTATTAAATTTAGTATTTATGATGCCATGAAATATCCTGGTGAATCTCATTCAATTTTTGTTATAGATGTAATTGATTCTTTG